TATATGTATATGTATATGTATATGTATATGTATATGTATATGTATATGTATATGTATATGTATATGTATATGTATATGTATATATATAATTACATTATTTAAGACGTACCTCAATATGTTTCATAGTTTTCTGCCACACAGATTGCTTTTCTTCTGTACTATACCCAGGAATGGAAAGAATATTGTGGATATACGAGAAAACCTCTTCCTTTAAGAAATATATGGGAAAGGTTACAACAAAGAAAAATACATTACAGAAACATTCTTTGAAATTAAATGACTGATTCTCATATATTACATGCTGAAACATAGCACTGAGAATGTATCATTAATAAAGCAACAAGGCACTGAAAATATATCATTTATGTACCATTTTAACATTCACCACTATTTCATTTTAGCATATTTCTATTAAAAATCTATTTTAAAAGGCAAGTTTCTCCATCCCCCCAAAATACAGAAAAGCTGCTGAAAAATTAAATAGATTTCATCTGAATTTTCTTCTATAACTTGAACCATGTCATATTTACCTTTCTCAAGGGATCATGCAAGTAGCAATCAATTATCCTATCATAGCGATGTTCCCGTTCATACATAAACTCACAGATTTGGTAACTGAAATAAAAGAATTATAGCTAAGTGCTTTTTAGACATAAGCATCCTTTAAAAAGAGCAGTTTTATAAAACATGTCCTGTTTTTCCTATCTTAATATTTGATGTTATTAACATACTGTTATTAAACATAAGAGAACCAATTTGGTGTAGTGGTTAAGGTACTAGGCTATAAACTGGAGACCTGAATTCTAGTCCCACCTTAGGCACAGGCAGCTAGGTAACCTTGGGGCAGTTACTCTCTCTCAGCTCTAGCAAGTAAGCCACTTCAGAAAAACCTTGCCACGGAAACTTATCCAAGCAGCCAAGTGATATTAGACAAACTAATAAATAGATAACCTTGAGCTGTGTCAGCAATATTTAATGTCATGTTTGATAAATGGATCACTTGTCTTTTTTTTTAAAATCAAAAAATTATCTCATGAAAAAACAAAGCCTTCTAAATCAGTGATATTTAACATGCTGGTGAAAGAGGAGGAAGGGAGTCACATGTATTTCCTTTACTTAATCTAAGCTGCTTCATATATGGAGGTTGCTGTTCCTATCTTCACTTCTTTTTTTTAGACGTTAATTACAGTATCTATTCTACCTGCCTCTCTTTTTTTGCAGGAAATATCAGTTAATTGTCTTTGTGACCTGAGGGAGCTTAGTTACTTAACACTAGTGAAAATTAAAGAAGATTCAACTAGCACTAGAATTTTATTACATGAATTTCATTCAGTATTTACATTCTTTCTTTTTTAATTTAAAATTAACAACACTCAAGCCAGACATATTTAAAGTAACACTAGTACCAAAACTATAAAAATCAATGAAAAAGAAGAGAAGCTTGATCCAAAGAGAACAACAAATGTTTTATATTAGCAACTCAAATCCCTGCTAAAAGCATGAGACCATACAATTTTTTTGCATTGTTTGTTCAACCAAAATAGGAATTAATAGGACTTAAATGAAGCTCAGATCACACTGGAGGTACTGCTGGATTAAAAATAGTTTCAAAGGGTCCAGAAATTGCCACTCATTGCCTATGCCTCTCTACAGAATGCATTTAACAACTGGAATTTCTATTTCTAAACAGTGGAGATAGATCAAGTATTTGCTTGGTTTTTTTTAACAGTAAATTTTGGAATTTTTACTTTAATCTGGCAATATTCTGTACTTGATAAAATGCACACGCTTTCTTAAAAGGTCTCTAATGCTATCTGATAATGTAATCAGTATCTTCAGAACTGCCAATTTCTAGTGGAATCTTTCTGCGTCTCATTAACATCTAAAAGACAATGTCCCTGTGGGAGCTGGCTTTCACTGTTGCAGCTTCCTGTCTCTGATATAGCATCTTCCCAGAGATCATACTATCCTTGGATTTTGTTTCTGTAAAGCCATTAAAACTCGGCAGTTTCAATATGTGAAGGTTGAAACGGAGCATTCTTTCAGGGGAGAGAATGTTTGGTTAAGTATTCTAACTGGTGATAAAAATTTGATGTGTGTGTGTGTGTCTTTTTTATGGTTGTTGTATAATTTTTAACCTAATTACTGAATTATACAAACTGCTCAGTCAGCTATGAGCAGAAGTAAGCCTTGTAAAATAATACAGGACAAATAGATTTATAAACAATCATTCTTCCCCTTTTGTTTTCCTGACTTGAATTGCCTGAAACTCCAAAGCAGAGATTTTGTAAAAATTTGCTTACTGCAATAAAGGCATTGCTTCAGTGAGATTAGAGTTTTTAATGGGCAAGAGTTACAAATGCTCTTTAATTTCACTGATAATGGAAATGTATGGTCAGATTACTGACGGATTACTGTAGGGAATAAGGAGCTGGCCTAGAAACTAGGAAACTGAGTTCTAGTCTCTCCTTAGGCATGAAAGTCAAGTGGGTTGTCTTGGGCTAGTTTTTCTCTCAATCAATTCACCTCACATGGTTGTTGTCGTGGGGAAAATAGGAAGAGGAAGGGTAATGAGGTATATTGGCCTCCTTGAATTATTTAAAAAGATATGGCAGGATAAAAATCAAATATATAAAATGTACCATGTAAAAAATATTAAAACTGATTATAAATAGAATTGTTAAATGGATATAGGTAAAATAACTCATTAATTTATACAATGATCTACTACAGAAAGGATACAGTAGTACTACAGAAAGACCAATTTCTTAGTCAATATTTTGTGAATATATTGTGAATATATGTCATTTTCCAGTTTATATTGAGCTATTTACTATTGTAAAAAAGCACCTGGGTAGGGAGTTAATCAGACAAACTTGTTCAGATATTTTAATCTCTTACAGCATAAATGTTGCTATGATTTCCCAGCAGCCTGGTAATAGAATTAGACAGTTATAAAAACAAATCTTAAAGCTAACAGACCGAGACTGCTTCAACATCTGGAGAAGTAGGATGTAGGTCAAGTTGTAATCACCAGAAATTTAATCTCATGGCCAAAATTTTATACAATATAGTGTGCTAAGTATTGAAGTGCATCTGCAGTGACAAGGCAATGAGGATGAACACAGATTTCACAGCTGAAAGCAGTTGCCAAGCAACCGCTTCATGTATTTTTTTTCTTCTGGTTCTATTTATCTTCTGCAGATAAAGGATTTCAGCCTCAATTTGGATCAAGTCAAAGAAGCAAAAGATTCCATCCCAACAATAAGAAAATGAAATTATAAGAAGGATATGATAACCTCACGGATAATCCTCACAGATATATCTTTTAGAAAGGCAGAGATGCATGACTTTTTGGGTTAAAATGCTGGCACAAAAATCAGATAGATCGCAAATCATATGTATTCAACTGTTGATTAATATAATAACATAATTGCAAGCATCCATAAAAAGTGGCTTCAGATATAGTTAAAAAGGCAGACAGTGATTTACTAACCAGGTCTAAAACGTGCTCTCTTAGCCAATTTGACTGTTACAGAATACCGTCAAGTGACATGATGGTATCAGGAGATAAATGGGATTAATATTTTGAGTTTTTTAAGGTGTATAAAAACTAGGAAAAGGAGTGGAAGACAAAACATCCAATTTCTACCTTTAACTCCCCAAAACTGTGAACATGCCTCCAAGAAGCCTCTAATTTCTATTCTTAATTCTCAGGGGGGGAAAATCCTGTCATTTTACTGCCAATGTTGACAATCCTAGTCAATGCCATATTTGTTTTTTACTGTAAAATCTAATCAACCTATCTAAGTTTATTAACATTAATATTTTGGAATTCATGGTTGATATAAAGCATTTTCCTTAATTTTTAAATGTTTCAATTATCTAATTTATCAAAGCATTAATAGTATCCAGTCAACATAAATATCATTGTACTCAATAATACAATGTGTCATTTGGGTTTTAAAATCAAACTATTTATATCTTACAATAATACAATGTAATTTTTCTTTTTAAAAAATCCTGGATTTATCAGAGTGGTTGTAAAGGAGTAAAACAAATTAGAAAAGATGCACAGAAACTTACAATTCAGCTTTTTCTGCCATTTGAATGAGTCTGTTTTCTTCAAACTGCACTATACCTCCAGCCTGAAGCAATTCTAAAAGAACCTATTAGCACAATGTAATTATAAATATTATGTTTAAATCCTTCAGAGACCCCACAACATTTATCCTCTACAATAAAAGATTATGTCTACATATGAAACAAACATCAGACATCAAGGAGTAAATTACGTTCTTCCAACCTTTGCTTGTTCATTGCAATATACATATTTACATAAGTAGAGACCTTCTTTCTGACATGAAGTTTAATTTTGGAATTTCTCAGTTACTGCCTGAGGACAACATATAATTTCCTTTTCTTAGGTATGTATCTTGATCAAGGATGAAATCAAGAGGAAACTATAATTTTGGAATAGTTGATTAAACATGATCATGTTCCCAAGCACGATGAGAATATTTACCTGCTTCATATAATATGAAGATAATTTCCCTCTCAACCACATTCTGTACTTAGAGACTATCACAATTTCATTTCCATGCTTTAGCCCACTAGTCTCTTACAATTGCATGTCTCCTCTTTTTCTTCCTGAACTTCAATTGAATAATGAAGTATAGAAAAAGAGTAATTTGAGTCCAAATTCACTACTTTTCTGATATAACCCAACACTGTTATCTCCACTAGAGGGGATTTGGAAAAACTGAAGTGAAAAATGACATTATATACATAGAAATATACACCTCTTGATAAATGTATCCTTAAATCACTCTCTAAGTATTAACTATGACAGTGGCAATCAAACTATATAAATGTATTTGGTGTGAACTGTTACAATTTATGTGATTTTGAAAACTATTAATATGCCTTGATTAATATATAAGCTCTTAGCAGTTTTCTAGAAGCTGATTGTTTCTCAGTGTGGAGTTCTAGTTTTAGCATTTATGCTCTAAAGTATGGTCATTTTTAGTAATGATCTTTCTGTCTTAACCATGAATCATTTTCACAGCATGAATATTATCCTAACGATTCATACCTGCTGTCTTTCCGAATGTCGTGAGTCATCATCAGGACTGCAGAGAAATTCAAGGACCTGAGCAAAAAAGAAAATGTTATTGTATACATATTTCTGCTCCATTTCACAAGCACAGTATCACATTTTACAAATTTATCTATTGTAGCATTTCCCACTAAAGAAAAGGACATACAAATCATTACAACATTTGGGAACAGGATCCCAGCTTCTAAAATACATTAATGCTGTGAAATGAAAATGCAACATCAAAAACCCAATACAACAGGTGTTTATTCTTTTAAAGCATCTCCTAGTTTCCCACATATCCTTTCTAAAATCATTGCATTCAAATCTTCATAATTTATTTCAAACTTTCTGAAACAGTAGATAGAATAATTACAAATTAGATGGCATCACAATCATTTTATAATTCAAGATAGACTTTGCCCATTTTAGAATAAAAATTCCACCCCATTATGTTTCTTATATTACCTGGTCAAATAGCATCCTATTCACAAACAATGTGTTGTTTGGCTTAGCAAGCTGTTGAGCAAGGAAAGTAAAAAGGCATCCAACTTGTGATGGGGTAAAATCAGAGTTCTCCACCATAACCTAGAAGGGAGAAAAATAGATACATTTATTAATCATAACAATTTAGGTTAGCACATATCTTCTTCTTGAGATGGAATAAAATAAAACATAAAAACACTACACTTAATAAAGTGGTACAAAAATAATTTAAAATTTTCAGAACTTAATTACTGTAAACATGTCTTCCAAGACACACCAAGTCAAAAATTTTAAAGGGAAATTTTAATTCACGTAAGGTTTCTAAGACAATGTTCCCCAAGCTTATCGCTGTAGGCAGATATAGCTGCATCACTAAAAGGAAGCAGCGTTTTTCTATCTTCTAGGTCACAGTGACATTGTTCTGAACTTATCAGTGGGATAACACTGGGCATTGCCTGAATGATCTATGAAACAATTCAACCACCATAAATAACTGAAGAGTCGGTTGGCAGGCGATGGAAATGAATAATAGTGGAGGAAATCTCATCTTTTCTCACTAAGGAGCAAGTATTTTATCTTATGAAACACAACATTTCCTCAATTCTTACCACAAATCAAAATTTATACCTCATGTTTCTGATATCTATTCCTTTATTATGCAGAATATATTTTGAACTTATTTATATTTTACAAACATGATTGTTACTTATATAAGTATATAACTACATACTTATTGTATAAGTAATAATGTTGATAAAATGTCAAATATAAAAATATATTCTGCACAATAAAAGAATAAAGAATTTAGTAGCATATTTCATGAAAGCCACAAAAAATCTTTTATGTTTTGTATATTTTAATTTACAATTGATGACCCTACCTGAATCGGGAGGCACTCACAACAGTCACTCGGGCCCTCGTGACCTCTAGGCTGGAATACTGCAATGTGCT